ATGCAAACTTGGAAAATGACAATCTATACAATGCAACTTTTACAATGAAATCAATTTGGTGCTTTCTCCAAAAACTGAGAATAGTTCTAACTCAGGACCCAGCTATACCACTTCTGGGCATATACCCAAAAGAAGCTCCACCATATTACAAGGATACTTGCTCAACTGTGTTTATAGCAGCTTTAATCCTAACAACCAAAAACTGGAAACAACCTAAATGTCCTTCCACCAAAAAAAATAAATAATTAAGGAAAATGTGGTACATTTACACGATGGAATACTACTCAGCTATGAAAAACAAAGATACCATGAATTTGCAGATGAATGAATGAAACTATATAAAATATCATCCTGAATAAGGTCACCAAAACCCAAAAAGACATGCATAGCAAATACTCACTTATAAATGGATAGAAGATTTCTCTTTATTCTGTAAGCTACTGTTGTTTCTCTAGGGTGTCACCCAGAGGTAGAAGAAGCTAAGTTCCTATTGCACTTTGGAAAAGGGACCTGGAAGACTCGAGTGACCTTAAGATGCACTCTCTGAGGAGTATCTTTCACATTACCAGAAGGCACCATACAAGCTTCCAAATGAGGAGTGGAAACAATAATCATTTCTAAGGGGCTGGAGAGATGGATAAATGGTTAAGAGCATTGACTGCTCTTCCTAAAGGACCTGGGTTCAATTCCCTGCACTCACATAGCAGCTCACAACTCTTTGTAACTCCAGTTCCAGGAGATCTAACACTCTCACACACACATACAAGTGAGCAGAGCACCAGTGTGCATAAAATAAAAGTAAATAAATAATTTAAAACAAGCATTTCCAGTTATAATTCCTATGAACCAAAACAATGACCAGCATGAAACCACTAAGGGTGGAATAATGACATCCATAGTCTGATTGAACTTAAAGTCCATTCAACAAGAGGTAAATCATGCCTAGTACTAAAAACTTATGCAACTTTGCCTTTCAGAATGGGGATTGCAAGAGTTCTCCCTCTTGATTAGTTTCTTTCAGTGTACAGAGTTTAGTAGGTTTATCCAATATTATATATCTATATAAGTGAGTATATGCCATGTGTGTCTTTCTGCTTCTGGGATAGCTCACTCAGGATGATCTTTTCCCGTTGCCACCTTTTACCTACAAATTTCATGGTTTCCTTGTTTTTTATTGCTGAGTAATATTCCATTGTGTAGATGTACCAAAATTTCTGTATTCATTCTTTAGTTGTGGGGCATCTGGGTTGTTTCCAGCATCTAGTTACAGCATCTAGCTGCTACAAACAGTTTGAGCAAATGTCCTTATTGTGTACTTGAGCCTCTTTTGGATATATGCCTAGGAGTGGTATGGCAGGATCTTGAGGAAGTGCTATTCCTATTTGTCTGAAAAAGCATCAGATTGCTTTCCAGAGTGGTTGTACAAGTCTACATTCCCACCAGCAGTGGAGCAGGGTTCCCCTCTTCAGCATGTGTTGTCACTTGAGTTTTTCATCTTGGCCATTCTGATGGGTGTAAGGTAAAAATCTCAGGGTCATTTTGATTTCCTGAAAGGCAAGGAGGAAGGACATCAGAAGAAGAAGAAAACAGGAAACAAGTTAAGATCCTGCCACAGAGGGCCTCTGAAAGGCTCTGCCCTGCAGACTATCAAAGCAGATGCTGAGACTTATGGCCAACTGTAGGGCAGAATGCATGGAAACTTATGAAGAAGTAGGAAATAGTGAGGTTTGGAGAGGGCAGGAGCTCCACAAGGAAAGCGACAGAACCAAAATATTGGAACACAGTGGTCTTTCCAGAGACTCATACTCACTCCAACCAAGTACCTTGCATGGAGATAACCTAGAACCCCTGCACAGATATAGCCTATGGCAATTCAGTGTAAAAGTTTGCCCCATAATAATGGGAACAGGGACTGCCTCTGACAGAAAGTGATTGGCCTGCTCTTTGTTCACCTCCCCCAGAGGGGGAAACAGCATTACCAAGGCATAGAAGATGACAATGCAGCCACTCCTGATAAGATCTGATAGACTAGGATCAGAAGGAAGGAGAGAAGGACATCCCCTTTCAGTGGACTTGGGGAGGGGGATGAGTGAAAAGAGGGAGAGAAGGTGGGACAAAAGGTGGGAACTCCACAAGGAGAGCAACAGAAGAAGATAATTTGAACACAGGGAACTTCCCAGAGACTCATACTCCAACCAAGGACTATTCATGGAGATAACCTAGAACCCCTGCACAGATGTAGCCCGTGGCAGGTCAGTGTCCAAGTGGGTTACCTAGTAATGGGAAGAGGGACTGCCTCTGACATAATCTGATTGGCCTTCTCTTTGATCACCTCCCCCTGAGGGGGGGAGCAGCCCTACCAGGCCACAGAAGAGGACAATGCAGCCACTTTTGACGAGAACTGATAGACGAAGATCAGAAAGGAGAGGAGAACCTCCCCTATCAGTGCACTTGAGGAGGAGCATGCATGCAAAAATGGGAGGGAGGGTGGGATCGGGAAGGGAGGAGGAAGGGGCTTATGGGGGGATACAAAATGAATAAAGTGTAATTAATAAAAAATAAAAAAGTTAAAAATTAAAAAAAGGGGAGGTGGGAGTTTATGGGGGGATACAAAGTGAATAAAATGTAATTAATACAAGGTTAAAAAAACAACAATTAATAAACAGGACCTCATGAAGTAAACCTATGCAACTAACTGGGGATAATTAATTCATGGATATTGGAGGAGAACCTACAGACACCGCTTTACTAAACCATATAATTTCTGACTCTATTTTATTATTGGTGTTTATACCTACAGATAATTGCAATTATCACCGCTGATTAAGGAAATTTTTCTTTGAAGAATATGGAGAGACTTTTACAGAAAACCCATAACATATCAGAAGGAAAATTTCAGGAGCCTAGTCAAAACTGACACACCTACAACACAAAACTCCTGCACCTAAAGCTTACAGATCATTTTGAAAGTGAGGATGGAAATATTGGATGAACCAGAGAAATAGGAACTTTTCTGTGAGATTGTGTCTGCTGTGAATGTCAGAAGCTGCAACCATAAACTTATCTAATGCTATCTAAGCTGTGTGTGTGTGTATTTGTGTGTGCATGTGTTAGTTAAAAATAAAGAGACACAAGAGCAAGGATATATAAAAGCAAAATAGGAAGGAAAAATGAGGAAGGTTAGTGGGTATTGTCAAATATTTAATACTTGAAAGACATTGTTTTGCTGACACTTGAGTACACTGAGTTTACATCAACAAAGAATTTTAAGGAACAGCAAGATTGCTCAAAAGGTAAGTCACTTGCCATCAAGCCAGATGTCAGACCCGAGTTTGACACCCAGAACTCACATGGCAGAAAGTGAAACCCAATTGAATGCTGTCCTATGATCTCCACAAACACGTGCAACTACACACACACACACACACACACACACTCACACTCACTCACATACACATTCACAAACACAAATAATTGATTAACTAAAATGTAATAAAATTTACCAGAATTTATGGAAAGAAAAGAAAAATGGTAAAGAGAACCCTGTTAAGAATCTTTGAAAGCCAAGAATCCCAACAAGACACACCTTCACCTGCCAGAAGACCAGGCAAGATGACCATGGACCTTCTTCACTCTCTGTTCACCCAAACCCTGTTCTCAGGGTCGCCCTTAGCTGTGCAACAGCACACCAGATGCAGCCTCCCTTCCCCCATGTCCATGCATCTTTTGGATGCCACAGACCATTACCTCCTGCCTCCCTTCCAATCATTGTGACTCTGTAAAAGTCCCCAACTTGGGTGGAAACCCCTTTCAAAACTACAGGCATGCTGGCCAGATGAGCAGGTAGGCTTTCTGTGAACACACTCCACTCTCTCTGTTTCACTCCAATTCTCAGAGTTGCCCCTAGCACTGCAAAAGACCCCATCTCCCCCAAAGGCTTCTTCACCTATCTTCCAACAGCAGCATTCTGTGAACACACCAGGCAGAGAAGCCCAGTAAAACAAGTAACATTCTCTCTCTCTCTGAAAATCCAGATAGAAAGTAGAAACCAAAGAGCATTAAAACCACCCAACACAGACAAAGTCCAGAAGGTATTTTCAGCAAAATTACAGAAGAAAATTTTCCTAGCATAAAGAAAGAGATTGATATAAAGGTACAAGAAACATGTAGAACACCAAATAGATTGGACTAGAAGTGAAATTCTCCTTGTTACATAATAAGCGTAACACTAAACATGCATAAAAAGAAAGAATTTTTTTAAAAATGTTAAGGAATAAAACCAAGTAACACAGGAAAGCAGACCTGAATGAGGATTAAGCATCTTCCCAAGGGACCTCCTTGTTGTTTAGTTCCTTTAGAACATTATAACTTACCTAGACTATCAGAACTTGTAAAAGCCTTTTAGATTTTATTCTCTAATCATATAGTCATCTCAATATTTATATTTATATATTTATTAAAATAGTTTTATCATTTATATGTTTTTATTTAAATAATTTATCTGTTAGCCTTATACCATTTTAATTATTTTATACCATGAATATTAATACTAAATAATTATTTTTTATTCTTAGAACATTTATTATTGTTGGTCTAGGGACAAGGCATAGGGGAGAAGAACTAAGGAGGGTGGGATTGGGAGGAGACTAGGGTGGGGGACACAGCCAGGACACAAATTGAATAAATTCTAATAAATGATAACAGAAAAAGAAAAATTTAAAGAACGCTTATTAATTTTAATACCGTGAAATAGTATAGCCCTTCATAGGGGAAAGCCCAGTCCACAAGAACTGAAACCTTAACTCTCTAGAGGCCCAAGCCCCAAAACCAGACTGGAGCATGCCAAGCCTGGCCTGGGCAAGGACACAAAACTAACTTTATCTTTGTCCTTTCATCAGAGCCTCTGAGAAAGCCTTTAATCAGTGTGCCTCTCAACAACATGATT